AATCATTCTATAATCTTATAATTTCTTATAATCTTTTGTATAATCAGTGACATTAACTTCACAAAGTCAAAATATCACAAGTAAATGAAGAAAGAGAACTATCTGGGAAGCTGGAAGCGATGCTGTGGACAAGTCTGACCGTGTGTATGAGATTTGTTCTTTCCCTAATCCACCAAAAGTTTCGAATCTGGAAACCGATTTTGGGTTTTGACTCAAAAATAAAGGGTATTCATGAAGTATGATCCCACTCCAAATCTTTGTTGTGTGTCTTTAACGGTTTACAAGATATAACTACCTAAAATTTTGAGGCAAAAACTGCGTATTTGAGAGGGGGTAGAGATAATACTCTATGAATCTTTGCAATAAAAACAAAACTGAATACACCATTGGAAAGAAAATTGAAAACTGCTTCAAAACCAACCATAGCTAAAGAGTGGATTTTTGTTTCCTACCCTTCGATCAAATATATCAAAACATTTTAGCAGAATATCGTAACTCTCATAACAAAAATAGATGGTGTTTAATTGGCCCCAAACTTGATTTGAAACCTCCCCTAAGGTCCCTTAATATTCTCTTATTTTGAAGAAAGAAAATATTCAAATTTGAAAAAAATTGACTAGTTTTTTTTGGTTAAATAGTATAATTTTTTTTTGTCCAAGATTTGATTATTATCTTTCTTTAAAAATCAGAGAATGTTAAGGGACCGTAAGGGAAGCTGCAAACCAAATTTGGCGACAGTTAAAGACTATCTATTCTGGTTATGAGAGTTACGACATTCTGTTAAATTTTTTTGATATATTTGATCGAGGAGTAGGAAACAAAAATCCAACTTTTAGCAGCATGGTTGGTTTTGAATCAGTTTTCAAATCTTTCCAATGGTGTAGTCAGTTTTGACCTCAATTCAAGGATGCATACAGTTTTAAACACACCCCCTCTCAAATACGCAGTTTTGGCCTCAAAATTTTTGGTATTTGTACTTCCTAAACCGTTTGAGACACAGAACAAAGATTTGGAGTGGGATCATACTTCATGAATACCCTTTATTTTCGAGTCAAAACCCAAAATCGGTAACCAGATCCGAAATCTTGGGTCGATTAGGTAATCATAACGTTTTAAGTACCCGTGAGGTGAATTGTCTCTAGTATCATTTTGAAACATCCACGACAGTTTTCCGCCGCTGGGCTCGGCCGAGACCCGAACGTACCAGGGGCGCGGCTGGCCGAGAGCCGCGTCCCCTGGCCGGCGGGCGAGCCGCGGGTGGCTCGGGAACCCCTGTGCTAGCTGAAAGAGCAAAGCTGAAATATTTCGTCCGTGTACTATGAATACTTTCCGGCAGCATAGTGTGTGGTGCCCCTATCCTGGGCTAGAGGAGTAAAAGCCAGGGGAGAGCTTCGCCTTCTGTTAGAGGCCGTATATTGGGGACCTTGGGGACTGTCTCAAAAAAAAAAGGAAACATTCTAAACATATGGCAAAATTGTTTACTTAACATACTGTTGACAAAGGGTTATACTCATCAGAAACGGCATAATTATTTACTTAAATACTACCAATATGAAGATTTGTAGACATTTGTAACACATGTAACCTTCTAACAAAAACTAACATTGTCCCTACATTATAACATTACCTGTGGTAATGACATGTCTTTCATAGGAAAAGAGAAAAGAAACGTTCCAAACATGGGGCACTTGTTCACTTGGAATACTCTTGCGAATGGTCCATGCATGACACTGCACAATTATTTATCACTAAATACTGGCAATGTGAAAACACTTAGCCACCAAAGGGAGTAAACTACTGAAGTCTGTTGCAAGGCATGTGGATGCTCCTCCACTTGCGGCCTCCTGCAGTGTGGTCCTCTGGTGCGGGACACTTGCCAGGCTCATGTGCGAAGAGGACAAGCCGGCCGGGGAAGTTCCATCCCGCTTCCAGATGGCAGAGCGTTGCGCACGGATCGCACTCGAAATCAGAACAACAAGCATTGGGGTTCCACAGGTGGATGTGCAGCAGGGGATTGACAACGAGGGTCGCCCTGACAGCGTCACCGTGTAGCCAGTGGTGGCCGCATCCATAACCAGAATTATACGCATCCTCGTCACTGATCAGCTTGAGCCTGCGCAGGGCCGGGGCCGAGAGGGGCGTGATAGCCAGCAATAGCTCGTCGCACTCCTCCAGGTCACCAGGGTGCAAGGTCAACTGCCGCAGCGCGGGGAGCCGGGGCAGCGCTCGGATCAGAACCTGGTGTACCTCCTTGGCCTTGTATCCACGCAAAGACAGGTGCTCCAGGGACAGTGCGGAAGACACCAGGGTGGCTTCAATCAGCTCCTCGATGTTGTCGCCAGGTCCAAAGAGGATGCTCAGGGCGCGCAGCTGGTTGGCTTCACTGAGGAACTTCAGAATGTTACTCTGGGGTTGCTCGAGGGACAGCGGCGAGCAACCAGGGGCGGGAAACAGGCTCACGTCCTTCAGTGTGTTACACGCGGCCAACGCGTCAATCGGAGAAAGTCTGTCGTACTTCAGACGTCGAAGTCTGGGCATACGGGCCAGCAACTCGGTTGTATCAGAGCTGGAGACGGCACTGTCGTCCACGTACAAAGAGCCTCTTAGGCTGACTTCCTCCAGGGTATCGGTGTGAGCTGCCAGCACGGCCTTCACAAACGACTCGGACTTTCTTGTAAGACGGCACTTGAAGAGCAGCAAGGACGACTTGGACGATCCACTCTGCAAGGGTTGGGTTGCCGAGGGTACGCAACCCAGGAATCGGAGAGACTGCAAGCAAGAAGACTGCGCCAAGGCATCCCAAAACGCGTCAACACCTCTCAATGGATCCGCCTGCCGACGCAAGTACATGCCGGGTCGGCCACTCAGAACGGTCACGTGCTGCAGGCGTCCCAGCGCTATCTGGTTGCGCACCACTTGGGTGAAGTGCGCCAACTGAGGGTGCGATTTCTTGCCGTTCCAGGCACTTTCCACCTCGATGTCTAGAGATGTCACGGCGCACTTGGTCGTCTCGAACGCTGCATTAGAGTAGTATGGGGAGTATCCGTCGCCGTGTCTCCTGCATACTATCGCCCGCAGGCACGGCGCCAGGCGCAGCACCGCGCACGGGCAGTCCCTGTCCCAGTCGATCCGGCGGTGGCGCCACACGTTGGGGTGCCGCGCCAGGGCCTCGAGCCTCTTGCACACGAGGCGGCAGGCGAAGACGTCGTCCACCGACAGGTACTGCATCACCTCCAGCAGCACTAGGTCCGGCAGCAGCTGCTCCTCGGCCAGGGACATGCTGCAAACACAATGGTGCCGACACTGTAGGGCAGAGCTCCTCGCAGTAAGTTCGCTTACGCGGGGGACGAAACATCATCCAGCACACACACTGCGAGGCTTACCTTGTAGCTGCTCTGTTGAGCTCGTTTGAAGATCTGACTAGTGGAGTCGGTTAACGTCGAAGACCTGAACTGCACTGCGTATCCTCTAACTGTTCTGAGGTGTCCGGTGTGCGCGTCCGCTTTGCTGCAGCTCTCAACCTCAACTGATTCTGGACCGACGGAGGACGAGGCGAGGACTGCGCCAACTGCGGTGCCGGTGCAGACGACGCGGCGGAGACGGACGGGGAGAGGGGAGGAGTCACCAGGGTTGCCAGGTTGCCAAGCTGCTAGGTTGCCAGGTAGAGAGTTTAGACACGCCGAAACCGACCAGGACCAGGCCACGGCCTGGAAGATATGTTGTTAACGATTATTTGCAGGTTGCTAGCGGATTGCGGCTGCTGGTTCGCGCCGCTCGCGCTAGCGCTCGCTCACCTGTGCAGCACTTTCGCACTAGCACACCACTCGCACACCACAGCACACTAGCGATGTCTGACAGTACCTCTCGCTTTTCCCCGATTTAAACACATATTAATGTTTTTCAAGTCCAGAAAACAATTATATGAGAGAGAGGAATTAGATTATATGCCGAAATATTGACGAATATTAGTGAAATCGTCGGGATTTACTATATGTCGTTTGCTGCTAAAGGGTGCTAGTGCTGCTTACACGCAGTGAGCGCAGCGCAAGCTAGCGCGAGCCACGAGCCAGAGCCAGTCGCACTCGGCGCGCAACCTGCAAATAATCGTTAACAACATATCTTCCTGGATGACTGTCCACCGGAGACCAGGCACTAGACCACTACCCGTACCCGTGTGGCCCCATGCAAAAGGGGGAAAATACCACGAGATAGCCCGTACGCTACGAACCCAAGTGATTTCCCCCTCGGTTGTTATACAGTTAGATTTGCAGAGTCTAAGGCTGTCGTCAAAACCGTTATACTGAGAATCAGCCCAATCATACTGTTTCAACATTGTGCTTCCAGGTACGCTGCGGGTGATTCAACAATGTGATGAGCACTCTCTGTTAGATTTTCAGTGTTGAAAGGAAAACGGAAAGGAGCTATTCTGTGAATAAGATGTCGGGTACAAACATATGCACAGACAGACGTGCAGTGCCCCTGCTGTGAACCAGTGCCTGCAGGCGCGGCGGTGGGCGCAGCCAGGTAGAGCAGAGAGCAGACGAAGTGCGGCGTTTGCACAGCGCAGCGCCACCACGGCGCCGCATAGCGCAGCGTGGCGCCGCAGCGGGGAGCAGGAGGGAGGGGGGGGGGGAGCAGCAGGAGCAGCGGGAGCACGACTGGGAGCATGGATCGATGGGGGACCAACTCGACGTTATGTATCTGGATGATCATTACTTCGAGCGCTGCTCTATGGTGCTGGTACGTGGAGGAGCAGCAGCAGCAGCAGCAGCAGCCCCAACCCCAACACCGCCCGGAGTCGCTTTCTCGTAACAACTTCCTTTTTTTGCTGGCCGAGCGCTGAAAAAAATGTCTATACGAGGGAGGGAGGGGAAAAGGAGGGGAGCAGGAGGAGGGGAGCGATTGTCGGGACACGCAAAACGCTCCGGCGAGGATCACTGCACTCTCTGTGGCCAGAGGATAGAAGAGGGCGGGCCATCGAGAAGGGGAGGCAGCCCCCCGCAGCGGCGGCAGAGCGGCAGCAGAGCGGCAGCAGAGCGGCAGAAGAGCGGCGGGGGAGAGGAGCAAAATGAATGGTGGAGATTCCGTTGCCTGTGCCAAAGCTCCAGATGAACGTAGGTCATTGCTCTGCAGGCTGCGCGGCGCTGCGCGGAGAGGGGGAAGGGCATCGCAGTCGTAAAGAAAGGGGAAGTGGAGTGGGCACAGAGTGGAGCACGGAGCGAGGTTTGGTGGGAGGCCTGTGTGTGCGCCTCCCGGGGCGCGCCTCGCGCACTCAGGAGGAGGCCGCCAGGGGCAGAGGCTGCGTCTAGGGTGCGCCGGAGGCTTTCTAGTGAGGAGGAGGGTGGAGGGTGTGCAGAGGGCCCGGGGAGTGCATGGCCTGCAGGGTGCAGAGTGTGGCACAGGGTGTGGGGAGGGTGGGCTGGGCAGGGACAGAGGTCATGAGGTCACCGACGGCATTCCCATGCCCCGCACCACAAATGGCTGTCAAGAAATCTTCTTCTCTCTCTTTCTCTCCCCTTCATACCTTACTCCCCTCCCTTGTCGCTGTCGGTGGCTCAGTGCTGCTGACAAGTACTTATTGCACGCTCCCCAACGAAAAAAAAAATCATATTTGCCGCGGCCCAGTAATTGGCACGCAGATTCATTCCTTTAAAGAACTGGCGAAAAGAGGCAGTAAGTAGCTAGCGCAAAAATAGAAGTTTTTAATAGTTAGAAATTAATTGCCATACTCCCCCAACAGTGCACACCCTTACAAACATATTTTATGGAGTGAAATTGAACGTCCAAGCTTGCAGTAAAACTGTAGAAAACGCAAGGTAGCTTTGTTATAGGAGTCACAAATTTCACACGAGAGAGTAAGCCATATGTTGACGGCGCAATGCGTGACCGTGCGGCAGTCAGCGCAGCAGTTCCATTCTGATTCGGTCCGATTCGCTTGAATCAGCCGACCACGGCGAGACAGCACCCAGCGAGCTCGCGCCGCCCGATATCGGTTTCGTTTCCCACAATTGACATTCGATCGGCCAGACATTTATAACAAATGTCGATAGACTCTCGCGGGCGGCGACGCGTCCGATCGCCGAGGTTATACGCGAATGATAATAACTATAGGTTTAGCTATGCCTACCCAAACCAAAAGTTAAATATAGGGTGACTAATTATGTAGCTATGTGGCCGATATGTGGCATTAAAATAAGCTATGTTTAGCTATTCAGCGAAATGTGTAGACACAAAGCTAACTAATTAGCATTCTCAGATTGGATAAGCTACACAGCTCATCTTTTTTCCGTGTACTCTGTAAATACAAGGTGTCTCAGAGGTAAAACTTAGTTGCTAGTGTTGCTAGCCCAGCTATAGCGCTGGCTGAGCTCAGAGGGTGGTGAGAGAGTGTTGGGCAATGGCAGAGCGCGGCAGGGGTGGCGGGCCATGGCGGGCGAGAGGGGCGCTGCTGTTGCCGGCTGGTTATTTTCACGATATATATCTTTCTCGTCATCGCGCAGCATGGCGAGGCGGGGCGCAGGGGAGGGGGGTGAG